TGAGCAAGGGAGTAAAGGGTCTTTTGTTCTTTAAGATTAAGACATGTACATCACAGAGAGGCTGCCTTATAAATTTCACTTAGCTTTACTGTCCTCCAAGTTTTGACCACTATTAAAAACTATGAATGTGCACTAAAGCAATTCTCAGAACTGCTTAAAGTTATAAGTCTGGTTCACTGGTATATTTAGCAGTAACATTCAAATTCTTGATATCTCATTACCAGATCACAATCCACAAAATAATAATCTTATATGGGATGTTTTTTTCCTGTATTAAAATCTACTTAATTTCTTCTCTTAAGTGGCAGGCTTCTTTAAATTCAGTTACAGCACACTTAAACCATCACTGGACAAGAGGTTAGATATCCAATTGTTCCAAGATTTATGAGAAAGTAGAATTTGGCAAATGTTTTCCAGGTGGTGCTTTCCAACAACTCTATCCTTGGAATGTACTGAACTCATCTCAAGGCACCACAGCCTCAGGTGGGTGTTAATCTCATACCCTCTCCTCTCTTAATTAAATGTGAAGTATGAACTAGTAGAGCCTGTCACGTTTCATGAAGAACCTGGCGATTTCATCATAAATAAATCTTAAGAAAAATGGTTAATAGCAATGTTTGAGTATATTACCATGAATCTTAGATTTTTACATACGACTTTGGCAGAACATGTTCACAAAATATGTCAGGGTTAAATGAGAACTAAAGTGTCAACCCCCCAAAAAACATTATGGTCATAAAGCATTTTTCAACAGCCATAAAATGAAGACTGGTGCTTACCCTAGCATCATCTAGTTTGCAGATTTTGGACATCAGCAGCTTAAGGGTCATAGAGGCCCCCTCAGGTCATTTCATCAAATCCTCTATTTTAAGGAAGAGCTTCTACTATGCCAGACAATTTATGTTCTCTCATAATCTAAGTTTAGTGAAGACATTTAAGAGACATAAAAATTAATTTGCATAACCATAAACTAAATCACTAAAATATCTGATTTAATTGTTGAGATGGTATTAGAATTTAAATCAATATGCTAAAATCTGATTAATACATGCTGACAAAAAATTATATAATTAGAATAACAAAGGTGTCTCAGACTATAAAACTTGAGGGTGTAAAAGAAGGCATTCCTTCAACATATGGCATAATTTTGTGCTATGCCATTACCTTGGTGTATTTGCGACATGAATTATATTGAAGTCATAGCCTACAATTTAGATAAATAAAATCAAGCCAGTATTGAACTTTTTTCCATCCTATACAATAGTATAGTATCCTTGGTAGCTCCTTGGCCATCTATTATGATCCTGACCAATTTCTCTCTGTGGCAATTTAAAAGCTGTAAAAAAATACATAATGGGTGATGACAGGAGAAATAAACCCACACCAGAAATTATTGAACCTTGTAGGTCTTTGCAAGTGTCTCTATTGACATTTATGTGTGAGTTACTATGCCACAGTATCATAAAAGTATGCTCTATACTTCAGATATATTGATAGTTAAATGCAAAGAAAGGCCACCATCAGATAAATGGCTAAAGGGATAGCCAATCTCAGACCACCCAGCTCTTCCACTGAGCATGGTGATGTTACTTAAGACAAATAAGATGTTTCTGACTCTTTGTCCAGTGTCCAACTACAATCCAAATTTAAATCCTGTATCAGATAAAGTAGTAATTCTGATCCTTGCTCTAAAATTGTTAGGTTGGTTATGATATATTTATTGAGGGCTTCCTAAGGGACAGGCACTGCATGGACACTGAGTCTAGCCCAGTCTTCAACTTAATGGCTGAGAATTTTAAGTTTCTCCTTGGTTAGGTCAGTGGGTAGCTCTTTCTCCCAAAATTGTTACAAAAAACAGCTTCTTAAAGGCACAACTTGTTAATAGTGGCACGATTGGGACTAGGAATAAAGAAATGTAGGTCCCGTCACAACTAGATCACTGAAAGGTAAAACTGGACAGTTCACTTAACCTGAAGGGTGTTAAGTTATTTGCCCCATTTATCTCATAGGTCTGCTATGAGAAATAATAATAATAATAATAATAATAATAATAAAACTAGAAAATATTTTTAAAATGTGAAGCAAATAAAAGTTAAATATCTGATAGCAGATGAAATTAAAAATAACAAATGCTTTGGTAAATGTTTTCACTAGTGAAGCCATCTGGGCCTGTACTTTTCTTTGTGGGAAGGTTTTTAACTACAAATTCTATTTCCTTCATAGATATAGGGCTAGTGAGGTTCTATATTTCTTCTGAAGTGAGCTTTGGTAGTTTGTCTTTTCATGGAAGTGATTCATTTCATCTAAGACACTGACTGGATTGTTCATAATATCCCCTTATTACCATTTTAATGTCTCTAGGATCAGACGTAATATGCCTTCTCTTATTTCTGATATTAGTAATTCATCTTTTTTTCCTGATCAGCTTTGCTTGGTTTATTAATTTTATTGATCTTCTCAAAACACCAACTTTCAGTTTTATTGATTTTTCTCTATTATTTTTTGTTTCATACTTCATCAACTACTTACTGCTTTTACCATTACTGATTCCTTTCTTCTGCTTACTTTGGATTTAATTTGCTCTTCTTTTTCTAAGTACTTAAGACAGAAACATAAGTCACTAACTTTAGACCTTTTTGCTTTTATAATTGAAGCATTTAATACTATAAATTGCTAAGTACTACCTTATTACATCCCACAAATTTCGATATACCATGTTATCATTTTTGTTCAGTTCAAACATTTTCTAATTTTCTTTGTGATCTCTTCTTTGATCCATGGGTTACTTGAAAGTGTGTTGTTTACTACAATTGCAGATGTATATATTTCAGTTCTATCATTTTTTTCTTTCATATATTTTGAAGCTTTATTACTTGTGTAAAATTTAGGATTGTTGTGTCCTCTTGACAAACATGATCTCTTTATCATCTAACCAGGTATTAGCTGTTTCTCCTACCTATCTCACGTCTGTTATGGAAGAAAACAAGAAAACACTCTGGAAAATATACAAGAAACAGAAGGCAAAATGTTGGATGATAGAGGAAGTTAAAAATAACTTTAATGAATTTTCTGAACTATCTCTAAGTTTCATCTATGCTTGTCTCTAAGCACTCACATAAATGAGGTTTGACTATGTTTTATCAGATCCTTAGATATAATTTATTGTGAAATACTGAGCAAATTAGCAGTATATTACACTCCACAACTTCGTGTGAGGTGAGTGAGTCTTACTGATTTAAGGATGAGAAATGAGGCACATGGAGTTCAAGGATTTGCTTCAGAAACCAAACAAGGTTTCCCAGCCTGTTGGTTGACCTCTTTAGCACAAGGCATTTTATTCCGACATAATTATGCCCGCTGGCTCAGATATGAATTTGCTTTATACTAAGAAATATAGATTACAATCAGAAAAATACTTGAATTCAATTTGGTTCCTCTTGTGCATGGAAGAAACAATGTGTGTGTTATAAAACTTGATCTCGAAATAGTTCTCTTAACAACACCATCTTAATCACATGCTTTCTAGTGTCCTTCCTAGCAATACAGCACTATGAAACAGGCACTCAGTAAGTTTCAAGAATAAGATTGACTACATGTGAAAAATTTTTAAACTAGGTCCATGACCTAGTTTCTTTCAGATGGAATAATCTCAGTGTTTAATTTTGATGAACTATATTTACTGGAAAGGAAGTCCAGATGATAGTGGAAAATGGCCTAGCTAGTCAGTCCATTACACTCTTTTTAGAAAAATCACACAAAATTAACAAGTACAGTTTGTTACCCTGTGTTAATACACCAGAGACTTAACAAGCAGCCAACAACTCAGTCTTCTTTCTCTTAACTCCTAGGTAAGAACATCAAAGAACTACACTGGCCCAAAATACTAGAATGAGTTCTTGATTTGCATTTAAAATTACTGAGTTCAAAAACAAACTCCAAGATATTTTGAGAGTCACTTCTTGAAAGTGTTAGGTCTAGAAGGCTGTTAGCTATCACCTATACAATTCCATCTACGTAAGATGAAGAAACTAAGGACCAAAGAGGGCAAATGGATCACTCAAGGTTACTATATCGCTAGTTAATGGCAGAATAGGAACCCAGGTTTCCTGAGCCTTTTTTTCCTCCATTTGCCTCTCATTTTCTAAAGTAACCTTTTCTTTTGAATTAGGTAATATTTATTTGGATAGGAGTTAGAGAATCAAGGTGTACTGGTCAGAATGATGGCCCCCCAAGATATATACATGTCCTAATCTCTCGAACATGTGAATATTACCTCACATGGCAAATGATATGATTAAAAGATGTGAAAGGAGAAATTTATCCTGAATTATCTGGGTGAACCTTAAATGCAATCACATGTATTCCTATGAGAGGCAAAAGGAATTTTGAGACCAATACACAGAGGAGAGGAGAATGTGAAGACAGAGCAGAGAGAGATGAGGCAACGAGATGAGGCTCATGACCACCAGAAGCTGAAAGAGGCAAGGAAGGGACTCTCCCCTAGAACCTCCAGACGGGGGTCAACACCTTAATTACAGACTTCTGGCCTCCAGAATTGTGAGAGAATAAATTCCTGTTGTTTGCTGCCACCAAGTTTGTGATAATTTGTTACAGCAGCCACAGAAACTAATAAATGGAGAAAATAAAATTTTGAAAATCATAAACTAAACATATATAAAACCGATTACTGACTCAAAAAGAATTGTGCTTCATGTGACCCAAAGACTGCCCGAAACCTCCAATCCCTCATTTCAAAGGGAAAAATAAGGCAATCACAGGATTTAATTTACCCAAAAAATACCGGTAAATATGAGAAGACATACTCAGAAAGGTTTAATATTTACATTGCTGCTAAGAACAGTGTAGGTTTCCCCCAAACACGCTAGCTGGTAGAGCTCCTGGGCAGACTAAACACAGGCAACAGTTGTCACTGTGGGTGTTCTGCCAACACAAGTGTAAAGTTGTCATCAGAAATGAGTATGTGACTTCAAGAGGCTTACAGAAATCCAACAAATCTGCGTCTCGGACTCTGCACAAGCCAACTCTTCTCAGGATGACCTGGACTCCTTCCCATTAGTACAATGATCAGCTAAAGCCATCTTCTATAAGAAAGGAAGAAAAATCAAAGTTTATTTTTTTGGGGGGGAGAGGGGAGATGATTGCCCAGAGTCCAAGTTCATAAATAACAATGTGTAAAGAATAGCCATACTGAGACAGTTACAAGTGAGATCTCACACCATAATTTACTACTTTTAAAATTAATATCCACAGCACACAAGTTTAGGCCCAATTTCATATAAGGTGAATGGGAATAAAAATAGACCAAGTAAAAGACAAAAAAGGAAAGAAATGCTTTACCAGGGGTTGTTAAATGGACTATTCTAATAAGATATATAAATCATGCTATGTGGTTAAATAAAATATCTCAATAAAAGCTAAAAATACTAGTCTTCCTCAGAAACCTTTGTACCCTGGATACCTTTCTTTTCTAGAGCTGTAAGGGCTCTAAAAATTATCAAAACTTTCCTAGACATAAAAATTCAGTCACTTCAGAGGTATGTTTTTTCTCTTTCCTCAATCATAGAAGCTTTCTAGTGATTGGTTTTTAGGGAAGATGTGTTATTTTCCCTTTTAGGTTTGGCTGCAATAACATGCCTCTAAGGCCTAAGCACAGGTGCTTGACATTTAATTTTTGTAACACAAGCTCAACATTTTGGCTTGCTAACAACCAATCCAGGTCCCCCAAAGGTAAGAAAAAAAAGTTTAAAGTGAGAACTTTCAATGAAAAATTACGCACCAAAATTTCCCCACCAGAGAAATGTTCACCAGACCTACTAATTATAACATTGTCAGATAATTCACAATAAAACAAGCAATTTTTGATTGCACACCACAGTAAACCAACAACTCTATGTTCAAATCCTGAAACTTTCAAATGAAAATATATCAAAGACATCGAATACGGGGTTCACAGATTAATTTTATAAATCCAAGTAGCTGGGGCTAGAGATGGGAGGAATCCATGCCTAGAGTAATTAATCTAAGGTGGCATAATTTGGTTACCTATTCTAAAGATCAGTTGTTTTCCTTTTTTCTCTAAACCAGGGGTCTGCAACCCCTGGGCTGCAGACCGGTACTGGTCCACTGCCTATTAGAAACTGGGCTACACAGCAGGAGATGAGCAGGGGGACAATGAGCGAAGCTTCACCCGTATTTGCAGGGGCTAGCATCACAGCCTCAGCCTCACCTCCGATCATCAGACATTAGATTCTCATAGCACGGGTCCCTAGTGCCAAAAAGGTTGGGGACCGCTGCTCTAAACTGTGGATCTGTGAACAGCTGTGAAATTGGTTCGGCAGAAAATGACTTGCATTTTTAAGAAAATGAAATAGTGTACTGTAGATGCAAACTTATCAACAGTGCTTTGCAGTATTTATTTATATAGTGAAACTTGTTTCAATGTGTATACAAGTCAGGATAAAATGTATTTCTTGTGCAGGGTCAAGGTCAAAAAAAGTTTGAGACACTGAACCAAAAGAATACCAGTAAAGGAAAGGAGCTTAAGTCAGGTGAAATTTAAAAAGTTTCTGAGCCAAGTCTACCTTCTTAAAAAACATATGTGCCATTATTTTAGGAAGCCAAACAAACATAAGATGCAATCAAACATGTTTAAATTGCAAGAAATAGTAAAAACCTTGATGAAATTTTCCTTTTATCCAATGGAACAAGAATCACACTATATTTGAAGAGATAATCATTAAGATTTAGTGATCCATTTAACAAAAGCCACTTCTTAAACACTTCACCCATCTTCTCCCTCTATCTAATTTCCAACTGGTAAAAGATTCTGACAAGATAATCAACTCTAAAAACTGTCAGTTTAAATCAGTGTTTTTCAACTGAGGGAGATTTTGCTCCACAACACTCTCCTAGGACATCTGGCATTGTCTGGAAACATTTTGATTGTCATAGATTGGGGTAGGGGGAGGTGAGATGCATTTATCCTGCCAGAAATGTCAATAGTGCTGAGGTTGGGAAACCTTGTAGATCAAGACTATTCATTTCAAACCTATATCCCTTTAGTTATTACAAACTAACAGTTACATTATTAGCATACCTACAAATTAGTTTACAACCAAATATGAAATAGGTTTGTCCTTTTCCAAATGCCAGAGAACTATCTCCTCTGTTCATTAGAAGCTCAGCTAAAAGCACCTATAATTTATGTCAGAAAAGTCTAATCATAAGAGTACTTCATATGTAGTTGAATTTACTATAGTATTTAAGCATTTATCCTTTGACCATAAATAAACCAATAAACAGAACAGTACATATTCTGATACAGCCAAAATGTAAATGTCTGTACTTTACTAAAAATCTTGGAATACGCAGAATGGGCATTACCAACAGGAGATGGACTGCATATAAAATAAACACTTTGAAGAAAGTAAAACCAAAAGGCAATGGAATAATCCAGGTGATAGATGAGCCCTCCTGTCCCCATCACCCTAAAAATAACCTTCCTTAAGCAGCTTCCTTCTTACCCAAATTCAGACATCCCCAAAGGAATAGCTGAAAGAGGGGCTCAGAAACTGTTTAACGGTGTAAAGGAAGAGATATACATGGTGGGAAAAGTTCCTCAAAGAAGAGACTACGATAAAGGTATTGGGAACATGGATAATGCCTGTAAAGTACTTAGCATGATGCCTAGCAGGTACTAAGCACTCACAAAGGTACCTTGTTTTTATTTACACTTCTATACCAAGAACCACCTTAGTTCGTGTAAAAACAGCACTTTTTAAAGGTGTAACGAGAATGGCAGTGAGAAGTACGTGATTATTAAAGGAAACACAAAAATCCATTGATTTTTAATTTAATTTTAATTATAAATTATCATCCATGCAGATTTAAACATTAGAGATTCAATCTGTCCCGATCTCACCACTATATGCCTAATAGTAATTCACTTGGGTATGTAGCTTTCCAAAACTTTTTGTATGGATTTAAAAATATCAAGTTATCCGTGGAAACATGGATTATTACGTAGATTTTTCCCGGGCGCCTTTCTAGAGATTTATCCTATTCGTCCTAACATTTCAACTCAGTCTTCCTAAAAAGAAACTAGTTCTCAAAGGCAAAAGTTCTTCCTTGCTCCCCCCAAAACCTATAGTGGATGTTGACATGTACCGAAGTGGGGGGGGTAATGCCAACTCGCGGTATACATAAGCAAACGTATAGTTTCCCTATAAGAGAGGCTTATGGGATGGAGGCCTAAAAGCTTCGTTACAGAAGTCACTGTGGATAAAATATCCACCTTGACGCACCATCACAGGTATTGAATCCCCTTCCTCATCATCCCAATATTTAAGGACCTCCGTCTTTTTGGAGCGCTGACTGGATGATCTGGCCAAGTACTCTCCGTAGGTTCGCTCCAGATTTGGTCCATCCATTTAACCGCTCAACTCCCGCATTCCCCATTGGAGTCAAAGCGGCCTCTTGGCGGAGCCCGACCTACCGCGCGCTTCGGGCTCATTGGCTCGGTGAGACGCTGCTCAGGAGGGGAAAACCCGCCTCTGATGGTCCAAGGACCGATCAGTCGGCACCTAAAAGGAGACCCAATTGGCCTATACACTCGCCAGTCAAACTATTCGGCTGCAAAGCTCCACAGAACCTACAGAGATTAAAACATCCCGCCCCTGTTCTCCCATTGGTTGGCCGGACCCACTGCTCCCCCCTTCACTAGCCCCCCCACCCCGCGGTCCATTCATTTCGCACAATAACGGGCCCAACTGGAGTCGGTTCAAGACCTCGTGTAGGTAGGCAAGACTATCCGCCACTTACCCAGGATCGAGACCGATCACTCACACCAATGTCTTGCCTGTTCCTCTGCGGTGAGGCCGGACCGCAAGGCACCTCTGCCACCGCCTTCTGCGCAACGCCAACCGCCCGCCAAAACGGATCCTTCCCTGCGCCTGCGCGACCAATCCTGGGACCAGACCCTTTCTCCGCCCACTACGGCTGCGCAAAACGGGCCACGACTCCCGCCACTACGCAGGCGCTGTAGGTTCGCCGCTGTCTCCCGCCCGCCATTTCACGTGCTCCAAGAGGCAAGCGGAACTTCTTAATGCGCCTGCGCAAACTCGCCATTTTACTACACATGCGCTCGGTGAGCAGTTGTTGCAAAATATAAAATTGTCACATTTTATTTTTTAACACATTGTATTAACCATGCTTTGACAACCGAGTAGCATGTAATATTCGGGGCGTGGAAGGTTAAAAAGTTATTTAAATACCTTAGGTACACTCAAATATGAATGATTGGTAGGCTAGCCAATCGCACTAGTTATAATTACTCGGAAACCAATGGACCCCAAGGGGTGGAGACTGCGTAGAACGCCCAAACGGATGACGTTAATCAGTAATGCGGCACCACAGACCAATAGTAGCATGAAGATATTTTAAATGTCCAATCAGAGTAAATCAGGGGCGGAGCCTACCAATGCCGTCAGCGAGGAGGCGGGATAAAAGAGCGAGGCCGAAGGTAGGCTGGCAGATACGTTCGTTAGATCACTCCTTTCTGTCGGTGGACGCCGCAGAGTAAGCATCGTTAAAGTTGCCCCACCAGCAGTCATGTCTAAGTCAGAGGTAAGATGCTCTCCAACTTCATTTTCTTCCTCGCCCATTCCTGAGTTCGGTAGGATGCAGCCTGGGTTGGCTACTTAAACCAGCCCATTCTGTAGTTCTTCGATCGCTGCCGGGGCCTACCGCTCCCAAAGTTCGGGTCGCCATTTTGTCCTCGTTGCCATGAGGCCGCCGCCCTGCAACCTTTAATTATCACTCCGGGCTCGGTCCTCGTGGTAAAACTCTTAGGCACATTAAATCGTTTTTTTTGCCTTGTCTAAGTGGGCGAGTTTCTTAAAAAGTAGCTGTAATTCCTTATTGGCGGTGGACCCCTCCCGCCCAGGCCTTTTGTTGCGCTTGCGTCGGAGAGAAAAGGGACGCATGCGCTCGCAGTTTTTCAGCTCCCAACATGCCTCCCCAAAGGGGGAAAGCACGTGGCTTGTAGCGGCTCGAAAAAACTAAGTGATTGGTATCTTGCTGTCGAATTTTACTTTCCTTAACTGGAAAATGTTTTGCCCTATAGGTCCACTTAACGCTTTTCTCCCTTTTCTATTCTTTAGTCTCCCAAAGAGCCCGAACAGCTGCGGAAGCTCTTCATCGGAGGTTTGAGCTTTGAAACAACCGATGAGAGTCTGAGGAGCCATTTTGAGCAATGGGGAACGCTCACAGATTGTGTGGTAAGACTTGAAAGAAACAAAAGAGCAATAAGCTAGTTAATTTCTTTAGCTTTTTTTTTGCTGTAGTTCCTGTCTGAATGCATGTGAAGATTGTTGACTAGATTATATTGGAAATAGACAAGAGTGTGGCTTTAACTGACTAAAAAGTTCACTCTTACTACATAGATTTAATTTAGATGAGTAAGAGGAAACTTAAGGACTTTGTATAAAGTAAAGGGCTAATACAGAGTTTTTTGTTAAACTTATTCAAGGTAGAAATGACAATCGCTTTGGGGGGTCTTAGTTTGCATTTAACGAATTACTATCTTAGGTGATGAGGGATCCAAACACCAAGCGCTCCAGAGGCTTTGGGTTTGTCACTTATGCCACTGTGGAGGAGGTGGATGCAGCCATGAATGCAAGGCCACATAAAGTAGATGGAAGAGTTGTGGAACCAAAGAGGGCTGTCTCAAGAGAAGTAAGTGATTTTTTTCCCCCAGTAATCATTTAGAAGTGTGTCACTAGGTAGACTTTACATCCAAAAATGTTAATAAGTTTTAATCTTGAGGTGAATTTGCTATTATAAATAACAATTGAGTTTTTCTTGTTAGGATTCTCAGAGACCTGGTGCCCACTTAACTGTGAAAAAGATTTTTGTTGGTGGTATTAAAGAAGACACTGAAGAACATCACCTAAGAGATTATTTTGAACAGTATGGGAAAATTGAAGTGATTGAAATCATGACTGACCGAGGCAGTGGCAAAAAGAGAGGCTTTGCTTTTGTAACCTTTGATGATCATGATTCTGTAGACAAGATTGTCAGTGAGTATCAGATGATGGGCATTTGCTAAGGATTTTGAATTCTGCATTTTATTCTAAATCTTGACTCTCCTTTTTAACTTCGGGATTTTTTAGTTCAGAAATACCATACTGTGAATGGCCACAACTGTGAAGTAAGGAAAGCCCTATCTAAACAAGAGATGGCTAGTGCTTCATCCAGCCAAAGAGGTGGGTTTGTTGCTTTTTAATTAAACCTTAAAGGTAACTGAACAATTCCAGTCTATATGGTTTAACACTTAAAATTTTTTGTGAAGGTCGAAGTGGTTCTGGAAACTTCGGTGGTGGTCGTGGAGGTGGTTTTGGTGGGAATGACAACTTTGGTCGTGGAGGAAACTTCAGTGGTCGAGGTATGTGTGGTTATAATTTACTGTTAGTATTATTTACAATAGTAATATTGTAAATTAGGTGCTCCAGGCGATTTACCCCTTTTGGCAACTTGTGGCAGCATGTAGCTACAGGCCGACATTTCCAGTTACATTTTATCCAAATGTAGTTCTGGTATTTCTTCTACCTAGGAGTTAAAATCTGGTATGGAAATCATTTTTGCAGTACAGGAACTGCTCCCTAAAGTTTAAACTTAAAAGGCTATAATTACATGCAATCCATGTACTTGAAACCTGCTTTAATTTAAAACTCCACTGTCTTCCCAGGTGGCTTTGGTGGCAGCCGTGGTGGTGGAGGATATGGTGGCAGTGGGGATGGCTATAATGGATTTGGTAATGATGGTAAGTTTAGTGGAGAGTGGTTTTGTGGGTTTTTTGTTTGTTTGTTTTTTGTAGGAGTGTACAGGTGAAAAGTTTTCAGCAACCTATAGAATAGGTTAGCAGAGACTAAAATTTTAGTGCATGACAAGCTAAACTCTGATCATAACAGCATGATGTGAGCAGGCTGTTACCCGTTGCGCTTAAACATATTTTGATTGTTGAATACTTTTGTCTTATTGAGAAGAATTGTATTCTTGTAGGTGGTTATGGAGGAGGCGGCCCTGGTTACTCTGGAGGAAGCAGAGGCTATGGAAGTGGTGGACAGGGTTATGGAAACCAGGGCAGTGGCTATGGCGGGAGTGGCAGCTATGACAGCTATAACAACGGAGCAGGCGGAGGCGGCTTTGGCGGTGGTAGTGGTAGGTATCCAGTGATCCAGGTACTTGGTGCAGTAGCTAGATTAGTCTTGTAGAATTCGTATCCATGTGGGGATTTGATGCTCTTAAAGCATTATGTGGTGCAGTGCATGGTGTTCTTTTTTAATGGGCTTGCTATGCTACCTCCTCCTAGCTTTAAGCTGGGGCCGCCTCACTCCCAAATAGATGAGTATAAGTGGATAGGGGCATCTTCAACTGGAATTAGATTAGCTTCTAGTAGCATTTAGTATCTTAACTTCTTTAGGACCATAGGCACTTAGTTGATGTATCCAGCATGTGTTTGCAGTGCCCCCAGATGGGTAAAGGCCTTCAAGGCAAAAGAGTATATTCTATTGTCATGGTGAGTTGGGTAAAATTTTCTTAAATACTGGATTATTTAACTGAGTGCCTTGCCTAGAAAAGATGAAGCACAGAGGTAAACATTGGAGCTACCAGTTTGGGAGGAAGGCAGGCAGATCATGCAACCTTTTTTTTTTTTTCCACTCTGAATACTAAATAGAATTCAGAATTATCTTTCACAAGTAACAGTTAAAGGAATTTTTTCCATTCCTAGGAAGCAATTTTGGAGGGGGCGGAAGCTACAATGATTTTGGCAACTACAACAATCAATCTTCAAATTTTGGACCCATGAAAGGAGGAAATTTTGGAGGCAGAAGCTCTGGCCCCTATGGTGGTGGCGGCCAGTACTTTGCCAAACCACGAAATCAAGGTATAGTGTGTGTATTGTATTAGAGGCCTAACTACCTATAAGTAGTACTGTTTAAAAAAATATTTAAATGGCTGGTAACTTGTAATCAGATTGGAAATAAGTCAATTAAAACACTCTATTTAGACTATTGATTCAAATACAAAACATTACTACAGAAACTTCAGAAGTTTAAAAGAGTAAATTTTATTCTTAGGTGGCTATGGTGGTTCCAGCAGCAGCAGTAGCTATGGCAGTGGCAGAAGGTTTTAATTACTACCAGGTAAGTGAACATCTTTTTGTGTTTTGACTTAATTTTTATAATTGATAACCCAGTAACCCTAATGTAGCTGAGCAGTGCAACATAGTTAACGTTATAACTGCAGTAATATTGTGGATATTAAGTTAATATTCAGATCAGCAAATTTGTGGGAAACAACTTGCTATTGGATTGTAGCCTTGAGTCTTAATATGTTTAGATTAACAACTTTATTCCATATTGTTCAACAGGAAACAAAGCTTAGCAGGAGAGGAGAGCCAGAGAAGTGACAGGGAAGCTACAGGTTACAACAGATTTGTGAACTCAGCCAAGCACAGTGGTGGCAGGGCCTAGCTGCTACAAAGAAGACATGTTTTAGACAATACTCATGTGTACATGGGCAAAAAAACTCGAGGACTGTATTTGTGACTAATTGTATAACAGGTTATTTTAGTTTCTGTTCTGTGGAAAGTGTAAAGCATTCCAACAAAGGGTTTTAATGTAGATTTTTTTTTTGCACCCATGCTGTTGATTGCTAAATGTAATAGTCTGATCATGACGCTGAATAAATGTGTCTTTTTTTAAATGTGCTGTGTAAAGTTAGTCTACTCTGAAGCCATCTTGGTTAATTACCCCAACAGTGTGAAGTTAGATTTCCTTCAGGGTGATGCCAGGTTCCATTTGAAATTTATTTGCAACCTGCTTGGGCACAGAAGCCATTGTCTTCAGAAACCTTGCTTGGTGTAGTTGAATTGACAGTTACTGTGTTGTGACCTGGAGTTCACCATTAAAAGGGTCACCCAAGCAGTCATGGAATTTATTTGGTAATTAATGATTGTTGGCACATCCTATGCAATATATCTAAATTGAATTATGGTACCAGAAAATTATAGATGGGAATGAAGCTTGTGTATCATCCATTATCATGTGTAATCAATAAACGATTTAATATTCTCTTGAATGGAATGACAACTGTATGGATTTGGGACTGGCAGAGCTTTGGACTTTCCCGACCCACTACCCCTGATATGTTCAATGCTTCTATCACAATTCAAGTTCAAAACTCTGCCAGAGAATAGAAACTAGCTGCTGGCTAATGCCACCCTGTAAATCCACAGATTAGAATTATTTGGGAGACCTTTTTAAACATCAATGAGAATTTAACTCCTGACACACAAACAGGTTTACATTAAAGGAAAACTGCAGTGTATTTTGTTCTGGCTGGGTGGGTCTTCATAGAGGTTTATAGCTTAAGCACACTAGTTTCCTAGTTTGGAGATTAAAATTATGGAGATGTCAAGGAGCCATACTTCTTTAAAACTTGCTAACTGCAGTTTTCCTTTAAACATGGCACAAGACCACACGATCATCCTAAAATGTTAATTGTATAGAAAATGATTTCAAACCTTTAACAGTTAATATCCGATCATTGTTGTTTTGTACATAGGTTCTTTTAAGCCCTCCTTTTGATACCCTGAATCTCAGTGCCATTGTACCTACTAGTAGCATAGAGATTTGTTTATCACTAGGACTGTGTATTCCATCCCATGGGTGTGTCGCTTGGAAGTTTGGGGAGGGGAGGGTGGGAGAAGGGTGGCTGGGTGGTGGAGGTGGGTGGGAAAGCATGGATGATACAGTTCCATGGGTTTGATATTGGCTGAGTTTGCAATGGCAGGTGGAACCTTAACTATTGAGGGAGTTTGCAGATACCTCAGGATTCCTGACAATGCCTTTAAAGATCCAGGAGAGATGTTCAGCTTCTAGGAACTGCTAGCAAGTATAGCGCGAATGGCTTCGAGCTCAGACACTCTACAGCTGAGAGTAGACACTTGTGGTATGTGGAGTACAGATAAGCCAGGGGCAGGCCACGGCACGCTCCATGAAAGCTAGGAGGGAGTGAAGTTTCAGTGACCATCGCAAGGAAGGAGGCAGACAAGAGTAAGGCACACCTGACTCTTAGGACTAGCAGTCAGAACCAGGAGGAAAGGTTTTTTTGCTATGCTGGTAGGTAAGAACAGATTTTACTTACATCCATATAGTTATCTCAATATCCAGTTTTGTTATATTTTCCTTAATATATTGAGCCAAAACTAGTCCAGTTAAGCTGAACTTGGTTTTTCTGGAGACGAATTGTTTTAAATCAACACCCTAATCTTGGTGGCTCCTAATTAATTGAAGGAAGTGAGCACTTTAAATATCTCTATTGTGATATATTTTTGTCCTTTATTTTTTATTTCTTACCTTCCTTTGACCCATTTCCTTAAAACAATGGCTCAAAGTAATGCATTAGAATCTTCCCCAAAGTGGAGGTGGGAGGGTTGGGTGGGTGGACCATTAATGGAGGGTGGGAGGTTAACCTGAGATGGGACTTGTTCTCAGAAAAAAGCTACTTCTAAAGGTTGTTTGCTTTTCTAGGGAGGAGTCAGCTTCTACAGGCTTCAGGCTTATCAGCTCTTAAAAAAACAGAAACTTATTCGTCCAAATTCATGGCTAAAAGGTAAGTTTTATAAATAAAGTAATAGTCAATAAAAGTGCTTTGGTATTGCCAAAGAGAATGGTAGTCTCTCAGAAGCCCCCCACCCACCCAAAAAAATCATAATCTGGTCTAATAGGAAAACAGCCAGCAAAAAGTTTTAAAGCAGCTGGATTCCCAGTAAAGAATGGATGTGATTTTCACTTGCTTATGTAAATACTTTATAATTTTTTTTCTTTTGCAGGAACATCCTTATGAGGACAACCTTTATCTGAGCCACTGTGTACTTCATTTTCACTGCCATGCAGTTTTTATTTAGCCATTTTGCGGCTTGAATTAATCATTCAATTTTCTGAATGAACATTTTAAATAAAATGTTTTTAACTTGATTCTATTTATTTTTCTTCCTTTGTGATATTTATAGTAAATAACTTCATTCTGTACATTCTTTACCATTTCAAGTTTTGAGAATAATAGATATTATTAGGTAATATAGATAATTACATGCCAGGTGTCTGGTAAACCAAGAGACTAGTGGAATCAATCTAAAGGGACAAAGTCTTAGGATTAGGTAGTACTGCAATTTGAAGCTAGCAGTTTATATAAATGCTTTAACCACAGGTTGGCACTCAGGGTGGATTGTTGGAACTGATTCTAATACGATGTATTGGTATGTTTTAAGTTTATTCCATGGGCACCATCATTTACTGAAATCCAAGAGAAACTGGCTCTGCAGGAACAAACCTTGACCTAGTTAACTTGGTCATAACCTTTTTCTAGCACTCCTAGTGAAAGAAAAATTAGAAAAGCTAGAGCCACCACTGAGCTGACTTTCCAAGTGGATCTAGGTTTATATCTCTTGTGAAATTCTAGAGGGGCATAGTGGATCTCATCTTTGGTGAACAAGTATGTATTGGCCAGCTATCTGAAGCTTCAAAAAACGGAGCTACAGGGGTAAGAATTATATATGGAAGTGGGGAGAAAGTTGCTTAAAGGGAGTGAACCTAATAAAAGACTTAAGAACTACAACTTTTAAATGCCCTAGATCTTCAAGGATCTAAGAGCACGGGAAGGCCCAAAGCAAGAATTGCATAGTGTCTAACAGACAGGGAGTTAGAAAATTTAACGGAAATGCATATTGTATAGAAAATTTAACGGAAATGCATATTGTACTCCACTGTGGAGCAGGATTTACCCAGACCTGGGTATGAAATCCCCTGAAACTTTGGCGTCCAATCAAATTCATTCTAATCAAGAGCTGCTCAATGGTTCTTCTGAGAGCTCTGGCACATCAGGCCCCAGGCCAAGGGAGTCCAATAGAAGTGGGCATAGGGGGGAATAGAAAAAGCCCATGAGCATTCTAGGCTTTTCCGTGTTCCAAAGATTGAGAACCTTAAACTTCAGGGACCTTGCACCAGAGGATCTAGCCAGCTTTGGCAGCAACCCCAACTCTATAAATAGGAGCCCACCAGAGAGAGTGAGGTTCCCCAGATCATTCATGGCCCCTGGCTCTGAAAAGGAAGATGAAAATGTTAGATTTCCACACTGCCGGAGCCCGAATTTCGTGTGTACCACTGTTACACAGAGCTGTAGGAGAAATGAGCTTGGCAGGATTCCCTCCCCACCAAGCAATGAACTCTGGGGAGAGCACAGCCACATCACCGTCCCTGGAGAAGGAAGACACAATGGAAGGCTATTTCTGTAGAATGCTTTATAAACCAAAGCTCAAACAAGAAGTAGAGGTTGGAGACCTGGGAAGCTGAATCACAGGAGATTCCAGCCCTCCCTTCACATACTTGCTTCAAGGCAAGCAAGCCTCACTTAACACAGCTTGGACCTTCCAAATGCCAGGTTTCCCACTGTTGTCCCCTTTTGAGCCTCAGGGTTGGGAAGTACCTTTATCAGAAGGGAATGAAGGAAATCTCCATCACCGGCCCCACCCCTTTGGACCAGCTCAGTCTGTGGCCTCCACCTTGGTCCCCCGGGGCACCAGGAAGATGGCTCCATCAGCAGCCTGTTGCAGTGCATACTCTTCAGGGGAGTAGTTGTTGCCAGCTTCATCCCGCAGATGCTGGAAAATGTCACGGTATAGCTCAGTCAGCTGTTGGCGCATGACCTCCAGGGTCCGGTCTGCCTCCCCTCGGGCCCGGAGAAGCCGCTCTCGCTCACTGCCCAGTCGCTCCAATTCCCGTTCCAGCTGCACAATGGTCTCCAGCTTTCTCTTGCGACAGTTCTGAGCAGCCACCTTATTCTTGCCCCGCCGTCGAATGTCCCGGACTAGTGCCAGCTGGCTCTCCGTCAGCGGATACCGTGCCAATAGCTCATTAAAGTCATCTACCGGCAAGTTGACAATCTTGTCCGTAGGGAACGGGATCTTCATGGCTAGGGCCCTACGCTCGTCCCTACTCCCTGCCTCTCCCCGTGCAGTGGACTTGGCCCGCACAGGACCCAAGGAGGGCTCTAAGGCTAAAGGGGTCTCTGCTGGTGGCAAAGCATAGTTGGGGTGGGCCAAGGAGTTGGGCATAAGAGAATAGGGGTACTCCACCGGGTACATCTCTACATACTCATTGCGCCGCCGACCAGCTTCTGTGCCCTCTAACTCAAGAGATTCAGCGTCACTATAGTTGAGGGATAATCCTGAGTCAGATTCTGGGTCTTCTTGGGGCTTGGGTGGCCCTGATGGCAGCCCAATGTCCAGAAGGGCTAAGGGGTCTGGAAGGGGCTCACTGAGCAGACCCGAGAGGGTCAGTGGCTTGGAGACTGGTATGGCCACGTTGCCATAGGAATATGGGGAGTCTTGGACATGAGATGAAGGTGCTGGGAGCTCATAAGGTGGTGGAGGAAGGGGAAAGCTGGCATCTGGGTGGATTGAGCAGGGACAATAAGTTGGGGGTTGAGGGGGCCCAGGGTATGGGGCTGGTGCTGGGGGCTCAAATGATGGCTCACTTGGAGCATTAAGGCCCTGCAAGAAAAGACATAAAGAGCACTGGATACAGGCTGAGGAAGAGAACCAGCTCTGTCTCAGGACCGACCTGGGTCCTTCTAAAAGACCAAGTGATATAGTAACAAGGGAACAGAATGATGCTAAAAATCACTGAAAGCTTCTTGTAAAGTTGTGATGCAGCTATTCAAAGAAGGCAGCTTAAACAGGAATGGAGCCACTGAGGTCAGACTTCGGAAAGGACTAACGTGACAACAATTACGGAATCGCCTCCTCCTCAGAACAAGTTCTTACTAGGTTGAAGTGGCTCATGTTTCTTTATTTCCTTCAGGAAGAATAGGAGTTTTATTCAAGATGACCCCTCAGAACCCTTACCAGCTGCGGTTGTCTAGGGTCCAAGGGGCAAGTTCAGAGCCTGGGCATGATTTGGGTGCCCAGCAGAGGGAGCTGCTGTGTGGAAGCAGGGCTTAGGGCAGATCATGAGGGCCCAGGCATGGCAGCAGAGAAGAGAAAGGAGACAGGCACAGCTAGGGGGTTAAGGGGCCTTGGGGAGCCTGCACAAGCTCTACCCTCTACTTTGCAGTCCCTCTGTCTCTGCCCAGGTGCAGAGAGGAGAGAACATGCTAGAAACAGGGCCTCCAACCCACGTTGGGGAGCCACTCTGCTCCAACTCAGCTGGGGACAAAGGCATCATTGTTAGGCCAACAGACACCCCTTTGTACAACTAGCAGGAGAAGACCCCGGCATAGTCTGACCGCCCCCCTTCCTGAGGCCCCTGAACTAGTGCTCAACTACCTGAGGGAAAGGGGCCCGGCAGCTGAGGGTAGTGGGGAAGGGAATGAAGGAAGAAGATGGGCAGGATTGGAGGAGAGGGAGGTCAGAAGGGGAAACGGTGAGAAAAAGAAGGCAGGGCAGGAGGTGGAGTAGAGAGATGTAAGCAGAGTGGCTGCTGAGAGAGTTTATACCTCCAAGCAGATCCTCCCTTCCCCACCACTCCTATCCCCTGCTCTTCCACACCCTCTTTCCCCTTAATGTTCTCCTCTTCCAACCAGATCTCCCTCCAACTCTGGCCCTTCCTTTTCCAGTGCCCGGAACATTTCCAACTTGAGACCCTGAGCCCTCCTTGCTCCTGCCCCCTGCCTCAGACTCTGTTAGACTCCCTACTTCTCAGCTCTTCCCTTCCCCTGCCCCCAATCCTACTCACCTGCAACTCAGTGATGGACATGATCTCTTGCCAAGTCAGTTCCATCTCGCCCAGCTCTGGAGTGGGCAACTGTGTCACCCTGTTCCTGCTCTGCTGGGGAGGACACGGGGGCATCCTACTGGGCCAGGGCCTGGTCCAGGGTCCCCCAAAGCCCAAATGGCCCCAGCAACCTGTGTCAAAGGAGAAATAGGGGTTAGGGCCTCTCTTGCTAGGGGTGAGCAATTTCGTCCTGCCTCCATGAAGAGGCCCCTTTCAACCTCACCTGAGAGAAGAGACCTTATCCCCTCCCACTCATGCTGGACTCATCAACCAACTTCTTAAGCTAGAAAGGCTTCCTCTGCAGTGCTATCTCTACTTCACATGCTATGGCCGTAGTTAGTTCCTTTGGGAACACAGTAGACCTTTACCTTGTTTTCAGACAAGATGCCTTCTCTTTCCCCTACTTCTTTCTCCCCAAAACTATATCACTGGCTGGGGCAGAAGTCACATCTTCTGGGGAGGGGGAGGTTCTCCCCTCATTTTCTGGGACAACATCAGTGATTACTCTACTTTCCTCTTCTGTTTTCAGTTTTAGGATCTTAGCCTTTTCTTCCCAAGATGAGAATGCGTGCTTGGGCATCCCAAGGAGTGTGTTGTGGAAAGAGTCAAGCAGACGGCCCCTCCCCTTCTCTGAGATATGGCCCAGGCCTGGTGGCTGATAGCAGCCTTGCCCTCTTCTTCTATCCTGGCCCTGGGCTCCCCTGCCTGGGCCAGATAAGAGGTTTATCAGCAGCAGGCAGCAAAGGAGGAATGGTCTCTGGAGACACTGGACCTCTGCCTTGTGTCCCCGCAGGGTCATGTTGGCCAAACTCCAACCTACACAGCCAAGGATCTTTCCTCTTCAAAGGTAATATAACAACTGTAACAAAGACTTATTAAGCTTGTCAAGAACTGTGCTGGTGTTTTACAAGCATTAGTTTATGAGGTTCATTTTCACAAAGATCCTATAAGGTCCATTCAGAAATTGAGACCCAAGCTGGTAAATAGCAGAGTCAGGCCTAGAACCTCTATTGGCTTATATATAGCCTTCCAGGCACCTTCTCATCCATACTCCAAGCCTCTATTGGTAGTCTATATTATCGGTTCTTTCTGCGGAATCTCAATCTCTATTCTCCTCTTCTGAGAAATATCTCTTTAGAGTCTTGAATATATATTCCTCTTCAGACCCTTTTCTTTTGATCTGGACTCTAGCCGAAGGTTTGCCACAAAGCAGCAGTGTGATGTTGGGCAAGTCATCACACTTCTTTGATCCTCTGTTTCCTCATTTGTAAAACCAGGGAGTTGGACAAGTTGAACTTGGAGGTCCCTTTCTGTTCAGACAGTTCAACTTTCTCTGTAAAACCTCACCCCTGCCTTCATCTTCTCCTCTCTGTCAGCCTCTCTCCTCATCCTATCTCCCCATTCCCTGACACCCTTCTCTCCCTATATCTTTTCTCTCTGGCTTTGGCAAGAAATGTCAAGTAGATTTGGCAGGGACCCCCTGATCTCAGGGCCAAAGCTATACCCAACTCTTGCCATGTAAGGAAAGGCAGACAGGCTAGGGGTGAGGAAAACTTACAGAAAAACAGAGATTAAGACTGAATGACCTCAAATTGCATGACTTTAGATCACCACAAGGATGGCCTATCACAGCCATTTAACATGGAGTCTATTCTTTGACTTACCACAAAATTAGTGATAATTGCAAATTATCCTTTTGAACAAGGATTTCCCCTAGGCTCTGCTCCTACCCTCTTGTTCTAGTGCCATCCCCAGAGCTGAGAGTTGGTATAGGCACAGGCTCTTGGCCAATGGGCAGAGTGGGTGGGGTGTTTATGTCTGTCCAGGATGCCATTTCAACACCGGAACCCCACCCTCCCCCACCCAGGTTCTGGAGGAAATTGCCCAAAGGCAAAGTGAATGGAGAAGGGGTTTAGGGGGCAGGGGCAATGACTCTTGCTTCACAGTCCTTCACACACACACACCTACCCCCACCCTCTGTCTCTCATATCTTCCTGGATCTGACTCTTAGGTGTAGTACAAAGATCCTGCCCTAGGAGGCAGAATACCATGTTCTCTGGTCTTCCAGGTGCATGACCCTTGGCAAATCGCTTTACATTCAGTCTTTTCCACTTAATGGAGACAGGACTGAAGTATCTCCTTGCGAGGGACAGTAGATTGTGTCTAGCTCAGGCAGTCACAAACTTTATTGTGTAGCACATTTGCCCAGGACACAGAATCCTGAACACCATCCCAGACCTACTGAACTGAATTCACAGATGCAGGTACATAGCTATCAGCATTTTAACAAGTGCCAGAGGCCCACTCCACCTTGAGAAATACTAGACTAGTCCAACCATATAAATTTATGGGGGAAAAAAACAGTGACAGAAAGGAGCCCAGTAAGTGATCTCCAGGCTTCTCCTAGCTTCAAACACTTGACCCAGTCAAGCCTGGGTTCTTGGCTGCCCCAGTCTCTGTGACTAGATATCAGCCTCTTTTCATAAAGACCAGAAGCTCAACCTCCCCCTCACTGTAGGAAAGGGAAATGAGAATCCAGAATGGGAGCAGAGGGGAGGCAAGATGTTGAGGAAGGAGGAGTTGAAAAGGACCTCTGGATCAGCTCCAACCAGCTTTTGAATACACTGGCAAGTTTGCACCAGGCCAAAGGGGAGGAGTATATTTTTCCCTCGACATTCAGGGATGAGTCAATGGTCTATATAACATGCAAAGCCCCTCTGGGGTCTTAGGAGCCTACCTTTCTGAGGACTGGCAGCCAGTAGTACAGATCAGGGAGGAGGGCATAGTCCGAATTTGATCAAAAAGAACATCACAGAGGGTGCAGAAACTAGAGAGATACTGAGAAAGTATAACAGGCCTCCCTGTGTCCCCTTTCTTTTATAATAATCAGTTCCCACTTTCCAGTTTAGGCCACACTTTGCGGTCACACAGCCATCTTACTCCCCATCATTGTGCATCAGGTAGGACTGGAGCCACCTCTATAATCTACCTTCTTTGCTTTCATCCTGATGGGCCTACTCAAAAAGAGCTTATCACAATCCCTGAGTACTCACAGAATAACATGGGGCTTTATGCTTAAAGATACAGGATGAGGACTATTTGGGGAGGGATGCTGGGGACAGGAAGGCATTTGGCTTCAACTGCTAGCCCAGGGCTCTAACCACCTTGACAAAGAGGGAGGGTGCTTGCCCCTGGGACCCCTGTTCTGAGGCTTATTACACAACTCCACCTTCCCAGGTGTCAACAGAGGCAATGAAAGGATAGCGAGAGATCAGTGAAACCTGGGGTGTAGAGTGGCAGTGGCAACTTAGCAACCTATTTAGAAAGATTTGGAAGAATCCCCAAAGAGGAAGAGAAACACAGAGGTGAGAGAAACAAAGGGAATGGAGGAAAGGGGGAGAGAGAGAGATTAATTTGACCAAAGTGAGATTCAACCTCCTGGGCGCATACATAACTCAAACAGGTATATGGGAACAAGGGAGAGAGGGACAAGTTTCTGCCTTTCTGTTACTCGGTTCCCTAGACCCCAAACTCCAGTCCCTTGGGAGCTAATGACTAGAAAGTCCCAGCCCCCACCCCTATTTTCTTCCACTGCTTTCCAGCCCCAACCCTCCCTGCTGCCAAGATCTCTAGTTGGAAGGAACTACACTGGAGATGGGATGCCTTCCCCTCCCTTCTAGTTCCAGCTGATCTCTACTGCCCAGAGAAGAGAAGGGGCAAAGGAAAGCAAGAACTCAGCTACCCCTACCCACACCATCCCATCCTGTTGCAACAATACTTCTCAGTGATCCAGACATCCAGTGTCACCAATTCCTCAGCTTCTCTGAACCTTCCCAGCTGGCTGGACAGGGCAGCATGATGGAATGGAGAGGAGAAAGGATGATACTATATACCTAAAAGTCTACTGGCTTCCCCAGAGCAGCCAGCCTGCTGAAGGGTTACTCAGGGTCACTCCCCATCCCCTCAGGGAACCACTGTCCGATCCCCACCCACAACCTTTCACCCCCAAGACTCCCGGAGCTCTTCAGAAGCCAACTAGGTCTTCTCCCAGAAGAGTTCCCAAAGATGTCAAATTCCTAAACCAGGGGCAGCCTGGGAAGGTCTGAGATCTCCTAGGAATATGTGGAAAGTTGGCTATTTTCTCCCTCTGCCTCCTCCACCTCCCCAGCTTGGATCCCACTGGAATCTCCCTTCCACCCCACCCCTCAGGCACCTGTGGCAGGGTCCAAGCAGGGTGTGGAGAGAGATGAGGCTCCGGGTGCTGTCTCTGGGGAGGCCGGGCCTGGGCTGACACCTCCTGGGTGAGGATCCCTGCTACCTCTGAGAACCGGGAAAGGCCATGCCCCGCCCCCAGGCCATGGCTGATGGCTGAGTGTGGAAGTTCAGGCTGAGCACTGAGACCTCTGGGGCGGTGCACTAGCCTCCTCTCTGAAGCTCTCGGCCTGAGTTCTCCGTCCTTCCTCCAACCCTCCCCTTTCTCCGTGGCCCTCCTCTCCTCCTGCCCCTTCTGGCCAAGAGAGGAAACTTGAGCCTGGTGTGGTTTCTGCCCACACCCCGCCCCCACTCTGCTCCCGGCCAGCGGGGGCACACATGGCTCCAAGCCTCTCCCAGCCCTCCTTTTGAGCCCAGGAGTCCAGTCGGGTCTGTGTTTCTCCCATGCAGATGATGAATTCCAAAGTGATGGTCCACTCCAAAGTGACCTCTAAACTTTATACAAGCTGTGACCTCCTTCCCTCTGCCCTCTTGACTCTCCTAGGAACAGGGAAACTGAGTCATAGCAAGGTGGTGAAGGGCAGCTGAAGAAAAGGACCAGGTGTCTAGTGTCCCAGCTGTGTAGGTAGGTGGGCATTTAGGACACTGCTTTTACTTAAGGAAAGCCTGGGTTCTGGGGAAGAGGTAAAGGAGCTATTTTGGGGAGGAGGGGCAGCCGGCTGCTTTGATGTGTCCTTTCACCTGTAGCCTTCTCCCCTCCCCCTGCAGCCTCAGATGTCCTAGGACAAAGGCCTCTTTCTTGGCCAGGTTTGTTGTCAGTAGGTGAGGGGAGTTGGGGGGGCGACCAGCAAGGACATTATTCACCTCCCTTAAAGGGGACCCCAGGTGCCCTCTGTCCTCATTTCTTCCAGGC